ATCTATTGAAAATTGAATTGTATGTGATGTTTAATTCTCATGCTGAGTTTGGAAATTCAAGCTTTCATTAAAAAATCAATGATTGTTTGACATGAAAAACCGAATTTTCTTGAATTTTCAAGATGAATGAGGAATTTACTGAATACCTTCATTTGAAGTTGAATTCAACCGCACAACATCGAAAATTCAGATGACGCTGTGACTGAAATTTCAAGAAATTTCTAACAGTGTATTCTGCCGTACTATTATAGTAGGGGAAGTAGAGCCTGCACCGCTCTCCTAAGGACTAACCATAATTTTCGTATCCCAACTATGATTTCGGATAAAAATTGTAGTCGCATCTGCTTCAGAAAAAATAGTCAACTTTCGATTTTCAAATGATTAGATTTTTTTCATTTTTGTTGACGAGAAGAATGATTTTTAATCAGTGGTGCCGCGAGACGAGATGAGACGAGAAACTGTATCATCTCATCTCGTCTCGTTGTCAGGAAATCATTCTCTCGGCTCGTCTCGTATCAAAAAACGAGCAATTTCTTCTCTTGTCTCGTCGAGAATTGAGAGATTCTCTCGTCTTGTCGAGAATTGAGAAATTCTCTCGTCTCCTCTTATCTCGTCTCTATAATCCAATTTACACGGAAAAAAAATACACAGAGGGGTAGAGAGGGGTAGGCTCTCTCGACTCTCGTCTCGCCTCTCGTTTCTCGCATTCTCAATCGGCTGTTCTCGTCTCGTTTCTGTCATTGTCTCGAATGACTCCTCTCGTCTCGTCTCGTCATGCCTCTCGTCTCATTTATCTCATCTCCTCTCGTTTCTCTCACGGTTCGCAGCATCACTATTTTTAGTTATGAAAATATTCAGACTTACTGTTTCCACTTTTCCATGAATAATTTTTTGGTGTTAACGACTTTTATGTATCCTCATTGAATCGAGAATTGAATTTCCATACGAGTGCCTCATATACCTGTATGGATTTATATAATTTTACATCTGTCAGTATCAACTGTGAGTAGTTAGTACAGTATAAATTTATATTCAAAAGTGATGGGTTTAATGAACGAGCACTTGACGTTACATGAATTTGTGGGGGAATGAAAATGAATCCGACGGATCTATTCGAAGAGACTTCCGAAATAATATGATCGATTATTTATCCGGATTTTTTAGTTGAAGTTTATATTTTAACAACTCTGCTTATTCGTCGAAGTTTTATCCAATTAAAATGATTTGACCGAAAATATCTGAGTGACGTAATCGAGAGGCTCAATTGTAAATACCCGTTAAAAATGATAATTTAATCATAATTCAATATGTTCTGAATTGGTCCATGACCCACACTCCAAATGGACATCCAACGTTTCCACCCAATAATGAAAATATCTCTTGCGTAATATTACAGAGCATCAAACATACTATAAAATATGGGATCCTACTTCACAAGTTGCGATATCTGCCACTCATAGTTGAATGTTTCCATTAAATATTTTCGTTTCTTAAACTGAATATGCACTCCGGTGTACCGAGTGCATATTCACTGAGAAACCTGGTGAATTAATTACTTCTGTATTCAAGATTAAATAGCACATGGTGCACGCTACGTGTGTAGTAATGATATGAGGTCAAGTAAATTTGGATTGGCCATGTCGAACGATTTTTTGCTTCCGAATGGAAGCATTGTCATCGTTCAAATTAAAAATTTAATTCATCGATGATTTTGTGAAAAATCGTAAAATTCTAAAACACCAAAATGACTTCAATTTTTTCTAATTATCGCCACAAACTTTCTCAAGTCTTTTTAAAACAACCCAATGTTTTACTATCTAAGCACCCTCTTCGTACGAATCTCAGGCGAAATACCTGCGATCTCAGTATTTCCACCGTTTCTTTTTTTTCCGTGGTTAAGGATAATCGGGCGAGGAGGAAATGTAGGAGGTGAGGCGGAGAGGTTTCTATTGTTTTCCTGCAGAAAACCAATCGCTGAACAAAAAAATTTTTCCCATTCGGATTCAAAATTCAGTGAATATTAGGGAGTATCTCCGGTTAAAAATTATTTTTGGAGATATTCAAATTTATTTGTATCGGTTCCACGCATTGAATAGTTTTCAGATTGTTTTTTTTTAATAAATGAAAAAATATTAATCCATGCGAAAAAGTGGCAACATCGTCGGTAGTGTTTTTTTTTTTCACCAGGAGCTGGTACCACTGGCTCGAGGGAGCTCCAATCACAATGCTTCATCGCTCTCTCTCAAGAGAAGTTTAAATTGACCGCTACCCTCACCCGATCGGTACTTGAGACGTTGCTGCTCGTTTGGGCTGCGTGCGCAGAAATTTCATTTTTCATGACTTCATGGCTGCTTTTTTTCCTTAAGTTTTGCAGTTTTTTTTGTAATTTCCATAAGATCACGGGTTAAATGACCACTTTTTCAAAAATTCATAATAAATTAACCATGTTCCCCAGCAGTCTGAAACTTTACACACGCCTTTTCCATCATTTAAATAATACGTAAAAAATAAAAGAGAAAAATGGCTGCTTTTTTTCTAACCCTCCGGACTCGCCCGATTATCCTTAAATATCATACTTTAAATGAATTCAATCATAGCTTGAAATGTGTGTTTTAATGTCATTAAGTCGAAGTTAAAAGATTATTACGATAGCTATATTGGTCAATTCGATTCTTGTGATAATTGTTGATAATTTTGAATTTTTTTTAAGAGAAAAAGAGCCATTTTTCTGGGTGTGGTCGACTATTTCGTACATGGAAACAATATTGTTGAACGATTAACTGACTTTTCGCGATATCTCAAAAATAACCCTCCCCCCTCCAACGTGCCATCTTTCTTAAATCAGCATTGAATTTACCTGGTTTTTCAAAGGCTCAATCTAAAATACTGAATCGCCTCAGTCTCCAAACACTATTCTCATTATTTACGTAATTATTTTTCTTCTTAAAATGCAACTCGATATTACTTCACTCCTCATTATTTTCAGAAGTATAGGGTTCTCCTCATTACTGAAATAAATCGAGTCTCCTCAAGCGTCTATTATTGATTGTCGCTTGCAATACATAAGTAACCACTTCTCTATATTTTTCTCAACCTCCCGGCACTAGTTTTTCTCGAGTACCGTTGACCCCGAATCGACCCCTCATGCATTACGCTTCGCCAAACCATATCCGCAAGATCTTCTGAACACAACTGTACGTCTTCTATATGCTATCATCTCCCCTTTATCTTTTTCTTTTGTATCACTTACTATCGCACCTCATGAATTTATTCCCGATGCGGTCACAACCCCTCTTTCGACTCTCATGAAATTCAAAGCTCCTCATGATGTACGACTACTGTTACAAGTATCCGTCAATACATGCCGGTGACATCCTACGATTTTCCAATGTTTTATTTATCGTCTGTTTATCACATTATTTGATAAAACCTATCACAAATCTCATACGCTTTATTGGGTTGTGTTTTTTTAAATTCTAAAATAACACGCAGGAAAAAATCTGCCGGTGCCTGCATCTTGGATGCGACTGGGATTTTACGTGGATACATCTAGGATCTTTATTTTTTTTTTAGAAAACTGCCATATTGCCGCACATTTTTTGAAAAATCTCTGAATTTTTTCCAATCGGGAAAACCCTTCCTTATGGATCTTTTCAAAACTCACGAAATCTATATATTTTTTAGAACTATATATTTTTTTTATTACGGTAAGGAATGAATTTCGCTTTTTTAGTATATAAAAAAATATACATAGATATCATATTGCATTAGTTGATAAGCAGAATCGAGGCTTCACCAATCGTTACGTTCAGTTTTCAGAAATTTCCAGCGAGTTGTAGAATTTTCCAGAAGACCTTCATTAATAGAAAAACCAAGCGAATTAGCTAGACAATTCCATTGGATTTCTATTGATTTTTCTATTAGTTTTTGGCCGATTCTATTGAAATGTTCAATAGAAATCTATCGAAAAGTCGATAGGATTTGAATTTTCCAGACAACTCATTATACTGACATATTTTCTACAGAATTACCTCGGCTCAAATTTTCAAATTTTTTCAAGTCTATATTTCTTTTCCTTTCGTCAAGGGAATAGAGCAAAAAAACTTGAAAAATTTTAGCCGAGAAAATTGTACAGAAAATATCTCAATACAATAAGTTGCATAGGAAAATCGAATTCTATTGACTTTTTCTACAAAAAATTTTCTATTGAACTTTTCAATAGAATCGGCCAAAACCTAATAGCAAGTTCAATAGAAATCGAATAGAATAGTCTAACGAATTCGCCAGGTTTTTCCATCAAAATTTTTCATATGTGCGCTCATGAAAGCATGGGGATGTCTCAAAGAATCCCTACTTTCCTCAATGTATATAGCTACGCTCGAGCCGCATTAACTGTCAGTCAAGGAGAATATGAAAATCTGGAAGAAAGACATTTGTCATTAGGTCTTATCTCCTGGGTGACGTGCAAATATTGTTGACGATCGACGATGCTTCCTTATTATTTTCCCCGATGCAACAAAATATGTGCATAAAACATGCAGCCGAGGGAAATTATTGGAGTCATAATTCAAGAGCGTCTCGGACAGGTAACAGGAATGTTTTCACTGGGAGATTATACAAACGAAGATCATACATCTTTTTTAGCAAGCTGGATATCATCTCTGGGTTCATTTCATTATAATGCAGAATGTGTTATTCCATAATTCATCGAAATTGTGTTTTATAAATTTGAAATTCTGGAGGACCAGAATTAGATCAGTTTCAAACGGATTTACAGCTTATTCTGCAGGGTTTTTCAGTGAGAAAAAACTCATTTGTCGAGAGATTTTTCTGTGGAGAAAAAAACCACAGAAAAACTTCCATCAGCCCCATAAAAGGTTTCCAAAATTTTAGGACTTTTCATCTCTTTAATCTTCATATCTCCGCTACTGAATTATTTTTTGAGATTTGGACGCAAGGAAAAATTTCAATTTCCATTAAGGAATAGAGACTTTAACGAATTAAAGGATTTGCAAGAACATTTTATTTAGCACCGTTGGTTACATGTCAACAAAATTCGAATTCATTTGAGGAATGTAAAATCATCACGTTCTTCATTATTAAATTTATCAACAGCTATCCTAATTACTGGCTGATTTCAAGTACTCCTTCTTGATGAAATCCGCAGCTCGTTCGCCCATCATTGTAATAGATGCGTGCGGATTACCGGAAATGACCTGATAAACGAAGGAATCCATAAAAATAGGATAACACTGTTAGAAAACTAAATTGTAATTTTATGGACAGTTCATTAGTAATTTTCGGGAGACCGACAATGACTTCGATTTACGGATGAAAAAATAATGGAATTATAAATTTTTAAGTAGCAGGAAGTCAAGAATTCTGTCTCACTTGAATTTTCAGTCGAAATGAGTTTGAATATTCATTACCGAATTACGCCGGATTTTCAATTAACTGAAAATTCGAGAATTTGGTTATCGGAATTTTCCTAAGTTTCATGAACTAATTGAACAAGTTCGATAGGTTTTTCCATGAAAGTGGAAATTCTTAAGGATATCCAAGTATCTTTTACAGTTTGATACAGACAACACTATAGATTCAACCGTTTTCAATTATCAAATTTGACAATTAAATTGCGTGAGAAAAATTTGAAAAAACTCATGCATATTCAGCGTCATTTTTTAAACGTTTGTTGTTTATAAATGAATAATTGAAACTGTTTTAGGTACGAAATTGATTTCTGGGAAAATTCGGAATATTAATAAATTTGTTACGATTCTGAACAAATGATTTCTATAGTGGAAAATTGATTGTTTATAAATTATTCATAGAAAATGTTCGTAATTTTAAAAAATTGCAATTTTTAAGTTAAATCATTAATCTTTCTGGGAAAATGAACTTTCTAATTTTTTTCAGATTTTTTCAATGTTTTCTAACCTATGTAAAATTTAAATAATGAAATCATTGTGAAATGTCCCGAAAATTATGGTCAAACGGGACTCAAAAAGCTCTGATGATCAACTGCGAAAGAAGAAAAGCATTTCACTGGAGAAAAAATTGTCGAAGTACTCGGATATTCATAATAGTAAAATTTTTTAGAATTTCCGTGAGACTCATGTACTGGATAAAAAGTTGCAAGAAGTTTCTCGCAAATTTCAGTTAGAAATTCATAAAGCCAAGCAGCATTGCTTGGGAAAATTCTGGTGCTAGGGTAGTCCACAATTAATTTCGCATTCGTATGAAATTTCCACATAAATCGTTGTAAATTTTACAAGAAATTTTAATCAATCAACATAAGAATTTTCATAGTCAGGAGATTCCGATTTCTTTCATTATAAGCACTAGAATTTTTCTAAAAAATTCAACTCCTAAACAAATGAACTAAGTTTACCTTCGGCTGAGCCGATGCATCGGCAACTCGCAGTCCCCGAATTCCATGTACACGGAGCTGTGTATCAACAACAGCCAAAGGATCTGAAGCTGGTCCCATCTTGCACGTACCCGTTTGATGATTCTCCGTCCTTGTATTTACATGGACAGCGCATCTGAAGTATTCATCTGTCAGGTACTCATACTGACTGCACTGTGGTACCGGCGAATCGACAACCTCCAGTCCCACCGACTTCATTGCATTGGAATTGGCCATTTTGAGGAGAACGTGGAGACCTGCTACTAATACATCAACGTCTCTCGGCTCACCGAGATCATTACTCCAGATTATTGGGTGGTCTAGACCGTTTGCTGAGGCTAGAGTAATCGTTCCTGCGAATCAATATCTGGGAATCTAATATTCGTTTAATTAGCAGCTGGAACGTAGGAGATGAATCCGTAACTGAGGTTGATATTAATATTACTTTCAGTAAAATTTTCACTAAAATTTCATATCATTTGATTGATGGTTAATAATCAATGAATATTCTTCATTGCAACATGAGGAGTTATTGTGTTTCGTGTGTAGATCCCCTTGTGAAACACAAGGGGAATCTTATTATTCTCGAACACTGATTCAATCGCTGAGCGCGAAATTTTCCAATTTTCAAGTAATTATTTAAGTGTGCATTTGTTTGAATATTGATTTTATTTATCAGAGTGATTGATTTTTTTCTCATTACCTACGGGTGTCAAATAATTTTTTTTGGATGTTTTTCGAATTATTGAAATAATATTAAAATGCGTCTCGCGTTGGTAAACCTGTCGAGTGTTTTCTCTCTCTCAGTTCCATGATCCAACCCATACCTTTCCCATGATGCTCACTGACATTCGAATCACGCGCCTGCGCGTGAAGGCGTAGTTGCCCCGAAACTCATAATTTTCCGAATCATTTGTTCAAATAACTTTCTTATGAAATCTGAAAAAAATCTGAAACTTATACGTGTTCTCGAGAAAGATTTGATTTATCAGCCACTAGTTTTTCCTCAATAGTTCATTATTTTTTTGGATGCCATGGAAATTTTCCACATTGAGAGTGGGGTAACCTCGGAGGTTATATATGGAGGGCTAGCAAAAACATCCAAATTTCATCATTTTTTTCTTGAGACTGAGATCTGAAAAAAGTGTGCAAAAATCCTCAATGATGTAGCATACTCAGACATTTCTCCCATGAATTTTCCAATTTTTTTTTCATTATTTTTACTTTTTACACAGAACACCTTAAGTCAATCTTTCTTTCTGAATGAAAGCTTTGCAATCATTGATTTCGACAAACTTCTAAAATCTGAAATTTCGTCACATAATTGATATCACTTTGGAGCATTTCCGAGCGCAATTTCAGCTCAATCGGTCAAGTAGTTTCCGAGATACAGCAATTTCTAAAAAATCTGTGTTCCTCAATATCTCGAAAACTCCGTGACCGAATTGAATTTTTTTTATGTCAAAATATTCCTCGTGATAATATCTATCAAATAAAATCACAATACTGCTATGTAACTACTGACAGTTAGGTAATAATCGGCATTTTCCGTTTTTATAAGAAAATCTTTCTGTGCACAATAAGTATTTAGTAAACTGACCTCGACTCTCCGGATGTATATTCACAGCCGTAAATCTGACGGACCTCTGATCTCCGACCGACAGTAAGTCAACATCGCCAGTTTGTCGACAAGACGCCTGATACCCCGAGAAAAATATTTGTAGATCAGGATAATCTGGAGTGGTATACTCAGACGCTAAAATCCCCGTCACTTGAGCTAATCCAGATGATGACAGTGGCCCAGTCTGATTGTACAAATAGATGGCAACATTATCCGGAGTGTAGCTGATATGTTTGACCTCCGGCAGCGTAAAATCAATGCTATATGACACATGATTGTGAAGATTCTTTCCAACTCCGGACAAGTCAAGTACCACGGGGATACCATGTTCCTTCAGCTGCTCCTTTGGGCCAATACCGGAGAGGAGAAGTAGCTGGGGAGAACCGACAACTCCTGCAGAGAGTATAACTTCACGTCTGGCCAATACTCTGTGGCGTTTTCCATTCTGCAAAACATTTTTTGCTCAGGAACATATGTTATGTCGTGTGTAGTTGGAGATGCCAATGAGTTTCGGTTTTTATGACTCACCTTGACATATTCCACACCAGTCACTCGATTTTTCAATGTCATTAGTCTTGTAGCAGTTGCTTCGACAATAATGTCCAAATTTTTACGATTTCTGATCGGCCGGAGGAAGGCTGCTGCCGCGCTTTGTCTCACTCCGTTTTTGCTCATTGTCTGGGCGATGTTGAAACCCAAATATTTCTCACCAACAAGATCCTCGATGGTTCCATAACCAATCTCGTTAGCGGCTTGATAGATGGTTTTGGCGAATTCTGGTTGGTATGGGAAACTGGGAAACGATGGGAGGTTTTCATGATGATTTATAGAATTAGATCGCAGATTCGTTTGAAGTAACTTTTTTCAGAACTTAAAACCGTTCTTTGCAACAAATCACATTAGTTAGAATTAGTTCTCAAAGTTAACAAATTTTTTTGTTTCCCAATGGAAACATTGTAATTTTCAAAATTCAAGTTCTCAATTTTTCGTGTTAAGGTACTTCCTCAGTGAGTTATACTTGGTGAAAATTTCGCAATGAACTGAAGGCCTAAATTTTGGATCATATGTTGTTGAGGACATGTAAAATCGACCCCCAAAATTTCAAGTATTTTTTCCACGCGAGTTTTTCAGATATCCATTGTCAAATATTCAATTTTAGTCTTTTTTAAGTTTTTGTCGATGCATATGTCAAAAATTCGCGTGGAAAAAATACTTGAAATTTTGGGAATTGTTTTCACATGTGCTCAACAACATATGATCCAAATTTTAGGTCTTCAGTTCATTGCGAAATTTCACCACGTATAACTCACTGAGGAAGTACCTTAGAATGGCCAATTTTGGGCTGAAGAATCAGAATATGATGTTTTTAGACCATGTCCGTATGCATGTGGATGTATATCTATGCATATATGAACCAATTTTTTTCATTTTTTAATAACAAATTGATCATATTTTATTCTTTTTTGTAGAATGTAGAGTTTAATGAGCTCTGTCATCTGTTACCTATTCAATTTTGCATGATAAATGTTTTCGTTTTTCTAGCATGTGCTTCTGATTAATACATACATATCAGTATTGTTTCAGTATAGTGTTATTCTGTTATATGAAAATATGGGTTTATAAATTTACGTAGCTTTTTTGCTTTTGTTGTCACCAGTTTATCAGAAAGATGAAAAAAGCTCCGGTGATAGCTCCCCTGGGAGCCGGAACGTTTGGTTATCGACAGAAGCTCTTCCCATGTCCACTAATTCAGTAGCGAAGTGGCCGAACGGTTTAAGTCAATTTAGTCTTTAGTTGAGTTTTCCAGAAATATATCCGAATTTAAGCGAGATAGCGAAATTTTCATAATAACCTTTTCTGTAGAACGAATTGAGTGCTACTCAAAAGGTTATGAGAAAAAATTTGCTATCTCCCTTAGATTTCGAGATATTCATTGAAAACTGGCCAATAGCCAAAATCGACTTAAACCGTTTGACCACTTCGCTATTGAATTGATAAACATTTAAAAGTGCTGTCCACCCGCGAGGCCAACATACCACCGTCATTTCGACATTAAATATTTTACCAGTCGAAAAACCTCACCGCGATTTTATTCCAATATTAATCAAGGCTTATTGACGTTTCGATATGTGATGAAAATCAATCATCAATTATCTGAAATACTTACCGTTGGACAGTCATAGGTCCACCCACCCCATGCAATTTAGTTCCCACTCTATCAGTTTCCGTATTATTTTCGGATTTCATGAAGAACGGAAGTACCTGCAAAAACCAACAACTTTAATTACCCCAATCTATGCCCTCGCAATAAAAATAACAACAGCAAGAAACTCACATCGTCAAATCCCCACCCCTCATTACCCATATCAACCCAATTCTCATAATCCCTGGGATTACCCCGATGATAAGCCATTCCATGATGCACCGTAGTACCACCGAGATTACGTCCACGGGGCCAATAACACGAGCCATTGTTCGCCAAACAAGCATGACACTCATTAGACGTTTTATATTTCCAATCAATATCACTGCCTGCAGAAGTTTCGATTGAGTTTGGAGATGTACCACTTGAGAATAGATCATTGAATTTGATTATTACCGATATAAATTCCAAAGTTGGATGGAATTTCCGCTGCGTTTGGCTCATCGGGACCAGCTTCGAGAAGTAATACCTTCCAATCTGGTACTTCACTTAATCTCGCTGCAACTGCACTACCACCAGCACCACCTGTCATTTATCATGATAAGGTTAATCCCGAATTATTAAATTCAATATCTGAACAGTCAATCACAATGAGGATGGCTTCATTACTTCCAACCACGATGAAATCATAAATCGGTCGGTTTTTTTTTTTCGGAGTTACACGACCACAGGAGTCGGCAATTGGTTCACTCCTGCTGATTATATCATTCATTGTATTCAGCATAAAGGCGAACGAAGCTATTGTCGTTGGGCACACGTTCTCCATGGGTATCCCACCGGAGAACATGTTCGGACACACTCCTTGGGTTGCCTAGGATAATTAGGAAAAAATGGTAATCAGTTCTCTCTCCGTTACTTCACCGAGATCGAGATGATGAGGGAAGTATTACAAGACATTTTCCTTCAAGACCAATACTCTAATTAACCGAAGTTCCAGCATTGACAGAATTCATTAATACGTAATTATTGGAAATTACTCAAAGAAAATACAAACCATGTTATCGACAACTAGTGAATTCTCTCTATGCACCACCCGACAACTGATGGCTTCTGTCCAAAACTTTTCCAATTTATATATCCTGCAAGAAATAAACGAAACAGATTGACGTCGGTCCGGGAAGCACCTCTCATTCATCAATAAAAATGGATATGAACGGTGGAGACATGACAATGCATAGATTTGCAATAATCGTTTCTGAAAAACTAATTATCCTCGACGTATCTCACTAATCATGTATGGAAACGAGATCGTTATCTCATAGTGCCACAAACTAATTTCACACTGATCCAACAATTACCCGGAAAAGATCATTTTAAGGGGAAGTAACATTTGGGAATACGTGAATGGGAATGCTCGTGAATTATTGTTTGTGACAGTTTTTGGAGCATATATAATGAGGAAAACAGACATCGATCATAGAGTATGATTGAGTTGACGATAAAAATGTAGACCCAGTCATAATGCTGAATTCACGACTTATTTTACATAATTTTGATTTATGTTAGTATTTTCATCGTAATTATTCTATGAGCAACATTGTCGTGAATTTGAAATCAATGCTGAGGTAAGAATAAGTTATTTGCACGTAATGTGTTACATTCGTAAGTCTTGAGAAAGAAGAGCTTCTGCCGACTTCAATAAATGATAAATAACTCCTTTGACGAACTAAACTCCATGTGAGTTGTCCTTCCACTCGACGCGGTCTGGGTCGGAGGCTGTCGAGGCTCAATATTAACATTAAGGAAACCCGCTAGACGCCAGATAATTTAATAAAATTGAATTCTTTTGACAAAATGACAACTGAGCTCTTACACAGGAGGACGTTTTGGAATACCCAAGGACGGGAGAAAATAAATTTCCAGGAGAGAGAGAAGATTTGGACAGAATATACAAGTTTATTTCATTTACGAACACGGAGAGAAATGCTGAGTAAAAATTACAGAACTCACAATTCGCTCACCGATTACGGAATCGACTCTGAAAATTTAAGTGACGGTATCGTAATTTTTCACAGGAGAAAAATCTGATTCAGATAAAAATTACGGATCGCTCTGGAAAAATTCTGTGACAGTTCCGTAAAATTTTCTACAACCACATTTCGATAATTACAATGAATCTCTCTATATTATAAAAATCGCAATCGACTTTTGGGGATGAAAATTTGGTATTCGAAGTTAAGACTCCACAATTAAGGGTCATGAGGGTTAGAATCAGGGACACAAGGGTCAAAGTAAGGGTCATGAGGATCATGCTAAGGGTCACGAGGATCAAAATAAGGGACTCAAGGGTCAAAACAAGGGTCATGAGGGTCAGAATAAGGGTCACGAGGGTGACAATAAACCTCATAAGGGTCAGAATAAGCATTACAAGCGTCAGATTATGGGTAAGATTAAGGGTCCAAATAAGGGTGACAAGGGTCAGATTAAGGGTTTAAATACGGGTCACAAAGATCAGATTAAGCGTTACAAAGGTCAAAGTAAAGGTCCAAATAAGGATCAGGGGGTCAAAAATCAAGGGTCATCAGGGTCAAAATAAGGGTCACGAAATTTATAAGGAGGGTCAGATTAAGGATCCAAATAAGGGTCACAAGGGTCAGATTAAGGATCACAAAGGTCACGTTAAGGGTCCAAATAAGGGTCAGAAATTAAGGGTTAACGTCAAATTCAAATACTGCCTATCACAGTCTATTTTTAGAATTGAAAGTTATTTATGAGAAATAGTTCAAGATTGATCAATCATTGGTAATTTGACAGTGCTTTTTTTAGATCAGACAAAATACTCAGATCATGAATGTGATGGAGTTTATGGAATTTATGGAGTTTATGAAAATATGCACGCAGTCATAATGTTGAATTCAAATTTTATTTTACACAATTTTGATTCATGTTACTGTGTCTATTATCGTTATGTTATAAGCAATAAATAATATACCGCAACGCGTCTTCGTTGTGATAATCCGAAGACTCTAATCTTTGGTATACCAGGACATGCTGCCTCTTGAGTTGATTCACTAAACCTGTTAACTTTAGTATTTTCAATGGCTAGAGTTGATACTCAATTTCTAATTTCGTGGCATCAAGTTCCACCACTTGTTTTTCCAAAAAAACGGTTTGTGCCAGGTTACAGGATATTGCAACCAGTCCTGTTTGATGAAGGTAGCTGCTCTGCTGCCAATCATCATTGCGGGTGCTGCTGTATTCCCCGACGTGACCTAGATAAAGATGAGAATATCGATAGAAAATCGTCAGAATAATGAATTTGTCTATTAATTGAAAAATGATGATATATTTTCCTTACTTTGGGCATAATTGAAGTATCAGCAACTCGCAATCCCCTGACTCCCCTCACCTTGAGTTGTGGATCGACAACAGCCATGGGATCATTAGCTGGACCCATTTTGCATGAACCAGCTTGATGATTCTCCGGACCAGTTTCCTGTCTAATTGAACAATTCCAGTACTCTACGCTAGGAAATTGAAATCGTTGACAAGCCGGTATCCCCGGAAACATCAGAGAGATATTGTATTTTGATAGAGCAGTTGAATTCATCAAAGATATAGCGAACTGAATGCCCTCTAATAAAACAGCAGCATCCTGCGGGTCTTCGAAATAATTGGCTTGTATCAATGGCTTCGCTTCTGGATCATTGCTTGCCAGTCGTATTGTTCCTGAAATGCAAATTGGCCAATTGTAAGCATGTCTGTCATGCCACATGACAAATTGATTTCATTTTATGATGAGCCCTCAAATAAAATATTAACTATAAGGGAGAGTGGGGTAAAACGGCCCCTTTTGACTTTTTCTGTGATACTCATAACTCAAAAATAAATTCATTAATTGAGATCAGTCTAGGTTCATTCTAAGGGGGAAAAGGTGTTGGTTTCCATAGGAAAATAAATTATTTCATTTTATTTTAAATTGAATGAGATGTTAACATTTTTGAAAAAATCAAAAGGGGCCGTTTTACCTTACTCTCCCCTACATAATTCCTACCGAATTGAAGTTTTGATTTGAAATCGATTTTAACTCTCTCAAGTGTAAACTTTACACCTAGTAGTTGTAAAAAATTCGGGACTTATGTGAGGTCGGAAATACACCCATTTTTAATTCAGACCATATTCATGAAATATGAATCCTTTGAAGACGAGATCTCATTAATAAATACTTCTATACAGAATTCGATACCAGCACCCACAGTGAATGCTCTCAGAAAACCTGAGGGCCATCCCAAAATACGAAACTTTCTCAAGGGAGTTGGCCGTGAAGCCCTGCGTGATGACTCCGCTTATCCTTCTTTGGCTTCCATTACCATCAAGATTTTTACTGACTTTGAAAAATTACTCAGAGGTGAGGACCTGGAGAAATGACGCAGGTCATCCTCCTATCCGCTCATTTCCCCCTTTTGCTTTCCGTCCTTCATTTGGAAATCGCAATACCTCAGTGATAACCATAATTTACATATCACACGAAGTATTATACAACTTGAGCTTGCGAACACCTTCAACTGTTATTTTTACGTTTCCAATGAAACAGCGTCATTTCAACAGACAAGTATTTGTAACTATTGCGATCTTAATCAGCTGGATACTCTTGATCACTTTTTCTCAATTGTTCAGTAACTGTCGATATGCGTTCTGTCCTTTTTTATGGTTTTTCCCCCTTCGGTAACCGCTCATTGGGAGACATTATTTTCAATGCTAGTTTTACTGAAATCAAAGCCATTAATAAATTTATCCGTAATGGTCTAACTGACAGACGAAATATTGACAAGTTGAACGCCTCAATCCGCTCTCTTCAAAAATCTATTAGTTTAAGTACATGATAGAGCATCTGTCTCTATTTTCCTTCACTCTATTCCTATGTCAGACCACTAGTTCTTCGTCGCATTCTTCACCAGTTAGCAATTCTTCATCATTTTACGATGCCAATTTTAAATGGTATATTTTCACACCCCTCCACGGAAAATTCATATTTTCCTCCCGCTCATCAAAGAGCAAAATACGAAATTTCCTTTGGGGGCGTGTTAAAAAACTGCATGTGTACCTCGGGTGGAAAGTCGTGACTTTCCGAAATTCTAATAAAAAGAATTTAAAATAAAACTTGAAAAAAACGCCCTATACATACTGTACATGATTTCCACATTACTCCCTCCTCTTGCAATCGGGCTATGTAACCTACATGCAGAAGTAAAAATAATAGTAATAAAACCTAAGGGCCATTCGTACATCTGAATACAGTAATGACGCTCGGGAAGCTATAGTTAATTCCCAATAACATCACTTCATTACAATAATTACAATAACAGCTCTCTACTGTCCTCGCCATGACCGTACCTCTTAAAATATTTCACCCTTGTCCCATCCATAACAATGTAACAGCTTATTTTTCATGTTCAATTATACGAGATTAGTAGCTATCTCAATTTTCCGTGTTCCCTTGGCTTTTATTCTAAAATCAGTCCTTTGTATATAAAATGTAAATACCGGGCTGAAGGCCCTCGGGCGATGGCCACTCACAATTTTTCTGAGAAATTCCGTTAAAAATAAAAACAAATAAATACCTCTACTCTTTGGATGCAAGTTAGTAGGTGAAACGCTGATGCTCCTCCTAGAATTATCCATCAACGCCGCCACCTGGCCGGTAGTAGCACAAGCCGCCTGATACCCCCCAAAGTAAAACTGCAAATCAGGATGGTCCTGTGTACTGTAGCTTGAGGCCATTTTCCCTGTTACTTGTGACAACCCAGTAGATGACATCGGTCCACTCTGATAAGCCACGTATTCCAAAGCTGCTGCCCAGTTAAGATCAAATTCATTTGGTTCATTGATTGAATAAGTCAGTGTATAAGACACATGATTCTGCAGATTTTCACCAACACCCGGGAGATCCTTGACCACCGGTACTTTAACAGCATTGAGATGCTGGGCGGGACCAATTCCAGATTGCAGTAGTAATTGTGGTGAATTAACTGCACCACCTGAGACAATGATCTCCCGTGAGGCTCGAGCTGTTCGAATTTCTCCGGCTTGCATATACTCCACTCCGACGGCATTCAGACCCTCAAAGATGATTCTCCTGGCCGTTGCATTGAGGGCTATATCGAGGTTGGGTCGGTTCCTCACAGGCGTCAGGAATGCTCTTGCACTGCTCAATCGAACCCCATTTCGACTGGTTGTTTGGGCTATGGTGAAGCCGGTTAACTGGTCTCCATTGAGATCATTACTGACGCCATAACCTCGCTCCTGTGCGGCAGACAGGATGTTGCTGGATATGGGAGGACGCCAGGGGAATTTCTCCACGTTCAGAGGCCCTCCTACACTGTGGAATCTTTTGTTCAGTATTTTCACATCTGCGTTATTTTCCATGCTCATATAATGGGGCAATACCTGAAAATTTAGAGCTGTCAGTTTTATGGAGGATTGCATAACCAGGTCGAAATTTAAGACCTATCTAATTCGGGTTACACTGTTGAAAATTTTTATCTGAATTTTCCGTGCTAAATTCCGGAAAATTTTATTGTGTTCCAATTCCACTGAAATTTCAGGAAATTTTGTCATTAAAATTCAGAATTTCGTGGAAAAATCAAACAGAACTGTAAATTTCCGTTCCATTTTTACCTGAAAATGAATAGAAAACCAGAAATTTCTGGTAAATATATTCTTGGATTTTCAGGACAGTGACACTGAGTGCGATTTAAGGGGAAAAAATCATGAAATTTGAGATTTCACTGAAAATTCAATCAAATTTGATACTGAATATTCATATTAGATTAGAAATTCTAATAAATTGAGGAATTCTCACCTATATGCCCCTTAAAATTCTGAAATGTTAGTGAATTTTCAGTGAAATCTGAAATTTCATTTTTTCCCTCCTAAATCGCATTCAGTGTCACTGTCCTGAAAATTGGTATCAGTAGCACTTATGAGTTTTTGCATTAAAATTTAACTCCCATTATTTCCTTTGCATTATAACCAGTAGAATTATTTATTTCTGTGATTATAAGGTGTTCTTTACTTCCGTTGTCTGCCTTAGAGCTATTTTGTTTTAATATTCATGTAATTCAACGAAACTAATTTATTATTCAACTTTGGTTTATAATTCGTTGAATTTATAACTACTTCAGGAATTTCATACTGCAGCGGTACAAGTATGAATAAGCTTTGTAGAAAAATCTGGGGGCTTCTCTAAGAAAATCGATTGACATTCTATTGGAGTCCTATTAGATTTTGATTGAAAGATTCGATTTTTTTTTATCAATGCTATTAAAAATTATGCAACATTCTCCCGCGCTGTCAATAGATGTGTTTTAAATGAATATTTCTTTATGGATAAATGGTTATAGATGTTGATTTTTCTATATAAAATAACTCATCTTTTTGGAATTTTCCCTATAATAATTCTTGGACATGACTTTTCAATTTTTTTTCTTGGATTTTATCATATGAACAAAATAAAAATCCAGCGGAAAAAAATTAAAAAAGTTATGCCCAGTACCTCGTATAGAAAAGATTTTTTTGCAGCCGAAATTCGTCCGCGTGTTCAGCAGGTGAAATTTAACAGGACTTGCAAGAATTTTAAACTAATGCCTTGAAAATTCAAAGGAATATCAACTGCTAAATGGCGGTTAATATTAATTTTCACTTGAAAATTCATCTGAATTGTGAAATTTTCGTCTTCCTACCGCTAAAAAATAGAACTTAACTTGAATTTTCAAAGAAACTTGAAATTCGATTGACTTTTTCTCCTTAAACCGAATTCAAGGTCTTTTTCCGGAAAAATCATCCAATTTTTTTTAACGTATCTGGGACATGCCCAAGTTTAGGGTTATATTCTAAGAATTTAGGTATAAGTTGAACTACTCTTTAGCCTTTCTTAGTGACGAATTTGCACATAGATAGAACTCGTGAGGTCTGTTTAGGACGTAAATTTCAAACCGAATAGTATGATTGAATCGTGTGGATTTACATCGTTCCAGCTCCAGCCCACGTTCCCCATCTCCTCCCACTCGTTGTAGTCCTTGGGATTCCCCCTGATGTACATCATGCCATTGTGAACAGATGTTCCTCCAAGATTCTTACCCCTTGGCCAACTGCATGATCCATTCGACGAGAGACAAGCGTTTGTCTCATTAATCGTTCTGTACTGCCAGTCAATTTCCGAACCTAAATTGCAATAAGGAAATTTGTAATCGTCCCTCATATTTCGAAAGTTTTGGTAGTACTGAAACTTACCTAGAAACATTGCCACCATACTTGGCACATCAGCACCAGGTGGCTCATCCGGTCCAGCCTCTAGCAGCAAAACTTTCCACTCGGGGACGTCACTCAATCTTGCAGCCACCACTGCACCAGCCGATCCCCCTGCAAGTTTCAAGAGTTGATTGGATATTCTCGGTGGGTTCAATGATTTTTGGATAAGCCAATACTGAAGTATTTGTCACAACTGATCATGGCGTTTGGTTTTATCCTCTTTAAGATTGTTATGTTTAAATACACTAGATTAGTCTGCGCGCTTCGCAGTTAACCGCAATTGTAGTGAATACAATGCGAAAACTAATGTCTGAATTTCAGACACTTTTGTAGACACTTTTCAAACACTTTTGGGACGACTTTGTAGACACTTTTGAGACATTAAAATGTGTCTGAATCAATGGAGGCATTTCAATTTCAGACACCAAGATGTCTGAAATTAAGATACAGACATCAGTTTCAGACACAAGCGGTGTTGGAAATTTTCAGACATGAGTTAGAGTTTCAGACACTTTTAAAGATTCAGACGTTTTTTGCCATCTGCCATCTTAAATTCAGATAGCTGTCACACACCTGGTTTTTGTAATGTAGTGTTATTTTAGATTTCTGAAGTGTTTATCAAAATGTATTTTATCCTTAAGTTCCAAGATGGCTGTCATATCATTATTATTATTATTTCATTTATGAATTCATTTTTTGGTGTGAGGGACAATCAGATGTGTCAATATTAGTTGTTAAGCGGAGTTTGAAGTGTCGAGTCGTGGCGTTTTGGGAAAGTGAATAGATCACGAAATAATGACGAATTTTTCATGTATTCGATGTTTTTGAATACTTTCCGTTGTTCGATGAAGTCAATCACATTTTAAATAAAATTTATGCCATAATTCCACATTATTAGTCAGTGTAGCAAGTTTTCATCAAAACGGTTAAATATTCTAGCAATTGTGAAGTGGAATGAGATAATCTACTACAGATGAATTCTTTAAAAAAAATCTAGTGCTAGCACACGAAAAAAACGGGCACAACATGATGGCTAGGAAAAACTCCGGGCAATGAAAATTTTATTGAAAAACACGTTAATTTATTCCATATTTTATATCAAATTTTCCCCAAAATTTCTAAGAATTTCACTCAATAGCACTCGAATTTCTCTAACAAAGTTCTCTTTGTTCATTGTTTAGTTTAATCCAGGAATATGCACACAATCAAAATGAGCAAAGTTACATATGTGAAGAGTTTGTAAATCCCATCACCCAAAATTGTGAAGCTTATAATGGATTTCCAGCGATGAAGAAAGCCTGAGATGCATTGTGTTGCAGTAGAAAGCCCAGGACTCACTAATCACTGCATCGTTTGTCGAGCTAATTACTCAGGGTACGGAATGTCAAGGAATGCCTGGGTAATGAACCGCCATTAGGTGATTCCATTGACCCGTCCAATTTACAGTTTATATTCTTTTTCGTCATCTTGACTTTTTGAAAACTGGTGGGGACAATGAATTTCCGCGATAATTGGAGTTTTACGGTACTTCCTTCTCACTTCTGAGAGGAATCGTAATTCGTAACAAATTGAAAGAAGGAAAACGGTAAACGCTAGATAATTTGTTACACATTTTAGTTTCTGTCTGAACTCATTTAATCACAATATTTTCATTATTTTACCGCCAATATTATGTATGTGAGGATTTTCACGCACGAGTAAACGCGTAATCTCATTCCTTCAGGCGTGAATATAAAACAAGACATGATTTATTGGCTTGATGACTATTATCGGAACATTATAATTGCTAATATGCTTCAACGCTGCAGGGAAAGTATTCAAATTTTATTTTTAAATTAGGGGTCTACGCACCCTGCTCCCTCCGCTCGCCAACCCCCATATGACCCACATATGACCCCCATATGACCTCGATGACTTTTATTCTGACCGCTAGTTTCTGACCCACATAATCCTTTTCTGAACCCTTACTGTGGACCTCGTGACCCTTAATCTGACCCTTGTGACTCTTAATCTGACCCATATAACCCTTAATCTGACTCTTGTGACCCTTATTTAAACCCTTATGACTCTTAACCTGACCCTCGAACTGGGCTGACTGCGTGCGTCTTACTGGTTAATTCTCTCTGATGTTTTCTATTACTTTTTCATCACCTATATGTGCCAGCGCTACAGCTTTCTCTTGGTTTTCTCTTGCTTTTATCTCATGTGTTTCTCTCAATGTATTTTCTCCTACCTTATATTATCATTTTGTATCATTTGTTTAAATTTCTAAACAATAAACACCTTATCTTATCTTATCTTATCCTTGCGATCCTTAATCTAAAGGGTTAGATTAGGGATCACAAGGGTCAGAGGATTTAAGTAAGGGTTACGAGGGCGTAACCCTTATTCAAACCCTCGTGAACCGATTCTGACCCTTGTGACCCTTATTCAGACCTTCGTAACCCTTATTCAGACCCTTATGATTTTTAATCTGACGTTTGTGACCTTAATCTGATCCTTGCGATCCTTAATCTAACGGTCCTTATTCTGACGATCGTGATCCTTATTTTGACCCTCATGACCCTTATTTTTACCCTTGTGACCTTTATTTTTGGAGTCTTAATTTCGACTACCAAATTTTGATCACCAGAAGTCGATTTGGATCTTTATAATATTGAGATGAAGAAAAAATTAATGAAAAATCGAGGATCATTGTACGTCTGATTGTGCAAACCCAATTACCTCAACTCGAATCACCCTAATGAGGGACACGTAAGCAACGAGGAAGAGCATAAAATTTTCTTCATCATCCCTCAGCTTTTCCGACGAATGCATACACCCTTCTTCGCATTAGCGATTCCGAGAAAGTTGGCCTGCAGTTTGTGGACTCAGTTGATGCACTATATATTCTCCACTGACTGAACAAAATTCGTCAAACTCCCAACTCATCTCTGGGTAACGCGAAAGGATGAAATGAACTTGAGAATGAAACATAAACTTTCCGATGAAGTCGTCGGGAGGAGGCGTATAACCAACATTGATCAATGATTTTGAGTGTTGGTGGTGACAGGATGTGTAAATGAGTCGTCGAACCGTGATTGTGAGTGTAGAATGTCGGGGGAACCATTATTGGAATTTTTTTATTCATTTTAACAATAATTTTGAGACAATTAAGGAACTCAAATATTTGTTGAACTGAATATTTTTTAGTGATATGAACTGAACAACTCGTATTCAAAATAAATTCTACCTTTAAATAAAATGAATTATTTATTTGATCCAATAATTTTATTTCTAATTAATGAAGTGTTTATTCGGCTTGAAGAATCATTCTTTTATATTGAAAAACAAGTGGGAAATTGCTCTTTTATTGTATATAGTGTAGCTATTGTTACTAATAAATTAGCAATATACTGTCGGATGGTTATTTACCACATCATTTCTCTCTATCATGTATAATTAATTGTTTATTTCATTTTATTAAATTGAGTAAGATTTTCCATTACCCAATTTCGTCAGATTTTCAACTTAGTTAAGTGTTATCAGCATTATTATTCTTATTATGCCTTTTCTTCTACACAACCGATTGTTTTTTTTACAGTTTTATCTTTCCCCTCAGCCCTTCCATAAAATGTTAATAGAAAAATGTTATTTACACATACTTGAATGAATTTGAAACATCACATTTGAAGAAACCATCAGAAACCTCACTTTCAGGGAAATTCATGAAAAATTCAGAATTTTCAACAATCATCATAACAATCAAGTCAACTAATATAGCTATCGTAATCATCTTTTAACTTCGACTTGATGGCATTAAAACAAACATTTTAAGCTATGATTGAATTCATTTGAAGCATGATATTCAAAGATATCCCCGGAATTCTGAGTTTCAAAAAATACAAAGTTTTTGAAAATTTTCGAATAAATCAAAATAACGATTATTGCTATCGCCTTCATCTTCGAAGTCGGTCAAAGGGACATCCAAACAATTTTTTTAAGACATCATTCAATCAATTCAGAACCTTTATTTTAGTTATCGTGGGACAACCGATTTTCGAAAAAATTCAAAAATTAAAAAAACTAATCCATGAATTAAATTTTAATTACTGGGGATCGATGGGGCTGAACAATACCTACATTTGAAAAAAAAAGATTCAATTCTATCCATTCATTAGCGAACAATTGAAGAAAAACTTTACCTCACACATATATATAATACACACAGATATAACACAAAAAATCCAAAACTTAAATTTGAAAGATTAATGCTTCCATTCGGAAGCAAAACTTATCTCACTTAAATGGACCACTTCTCGGGGTGAAAATTAGTTGAAACATGCAATGAAAAATAATAACAAACTGTGACAATGATCCGCGCATATCTAGCGCGTTGGTTTGCACCATCGATTCCCTACTATCTACATAATTCGTAATTCCCATGTGAATGATGACTTCGAATAAGCGATTCTAAAGACAATAATCCAACAAATGCCAAAAAGCCGATACACGAATATCCCTCACCCGATTGAATTCGAACCAGCAAACAACGAGGATTCCCAAAACAACTAAGAATGGAAATTGAATTAATGATGCAATAATGACGCAAACACGAGCGGAAGGATCTACCCAATAGTTTGTATTAATTTCCCATTTAAACCCATCGAATTGCATTTCACGTTCAATGGTTCAATGGAACTGGCAATTACAATCGATATAATACGCGCGATTAATACAAAAGAGGTACGAGGGAGAGGAAAAAATACGATATATTTGCTCAATGTAAACGAGGCGAGAGTGAAATCCATTTGGTCAATGTGTAAAATTTCATTTACGTTGTTACGGATTCACCGGTGTAATTCTAGAATTTTACAGAAGATTAATTTTTTCAATCAATCGTTGTGAATAAATGGCGATTTTTTAATTCGAATTTTTTGTCCCTTTAGATGAAATTCAATGAAAATGCGTTCGATTGATGATCGTCCATTCGGGGGTTTCATTTTGACTTTGTGAGGGAGAGAAATGGAGTCATTGATTTATTTACAACATTCTATTCGATCCATTGAATTTTTATGGCAGAAAAACTTGAAGAGAAACCTTCGATTTTTTTTCTCATTTTTCTTTTGTTTTGGTTTTGAATGCAAGCTTTGTGATTGTTGATTGTGAGGACTTTTAAATTTTGCTTAGAAATGACGTAGAATGTCATGAAACGTGAAGATATAGAGTAGATTCATGCCAAATCAGCAGGCCAATAAAGTCGATGCTGGAGATTTTTGTCTCAATTTTTTTCTGAGAAGATGACGATTAGAGAAAAATTTTGAAAAAAGAAGAAATGAAAAATATTGATAATTGACGGAGTTATGATTTTTTAAACGTGGCTAGTTTTTATCGAGAACTTTTTTCCAAATTGACCTCAATATTTCTGCGGAGTTTCAAGCTATCAAATCGCCCTTTGGCACACTCAAAGAACATGAAGAATCCTTCAAAATGAGACGTCATATATAGCATTATCTTCAGTTTGACTGAGTTTATACGAGAAAATTTTTTTTCAATCATTAATAACTAAAAAATCTAATTTTTACACATTTGAAGTTTTCCCCAAAAATTGTCAATAAAGTGACAAGAATTTTCTCGCCAAATAGAGTTTGTCTTGCACCGTAATTCTGCGGTTATTATTTTTTATAGTTGGACAAGTATTGAGAATTACTGAAAATCGCGATTATTCATGCAATTATTCCCTCAATTAACCATATTATTCAATTGTTCTTTTTTCAAAATTTTGGTCTAGTCGCTATCTTTTTAGAAAAAAATAGAGGCGATTCCCAGATCTGCTCTATGATGTTTTAAAAAAATGTGTGTAAAATTGAAGCTAAAAATCTGAAATTTCGTCACATAATGGTGGGCACAATTTCAGCTCAATTGATCAAGTAGTTTCCGAGATACAGCAATTTCTCAAAAATCTTTTCTCCTTAATATCTCGAAAACTACGTGACTGAATCGAATTTTTCTGACGTCAAAATATTCCTTGTGGTAATATCTATCAAATCAAATCATAATATTGCTATGTAACGAGAGACAGTTTGGTAATAATCGGCATTTTTAGTTATAATGAGAAAATCGTTTTGTGCACGATAACTCCCGAAAAAATTTAAATAGCATGTTGAAAATTGGTGAGATTATAGCTCTTATGATATTACACGATGGTATTATGGGCCGGCAAAATCGAATAAGTGGTTTAGAAGATATTCAACTTTTTGTGAAGAAATCTTTTGTTCAATATCTCCCAAACTACTTGTCCGATTAATTTTATTTTATTTTCAAAATACTCGTCTTGTCGCCCCCTATCAAGTTCATTAAAAAAATAGATACCCATTCATGCAAAGTTTTCAAGATATTTGCGTTTTTCTAATTTTTCAATTTAGAGTTAATGTGGCGTTCCATAATACGCGTAAAACTTGGAATAAACATCTGAGATTCTGGCTACTAATTAGCATTATCGAGTCACACTTGTGTACAAAATTTGCATCGATTCATTCAGTACATCCTGGTATAGAGTAATTCATGCAAAAATCTTTTTTCTAAGATTCACAGATCGTAAAGATGCGAGCAATTTTCATGACATGTCAGATGACGGTCATGTGACCATCACTGACACGTCACATTACCGATCCACGAATGACCAATTACTGTCACATGACAAAAATGTGACCGACTTACCTTATGATAGTCAAATCGCATCTAAGTGGTGGCGAAACCACTTTAGGTCTCCAAATTTTTTTAAATTTTATCTGAAAGTTGGTGAAACTGTAACCCCATGTCACCCCGAAGTAGTTAACGAACTACTTCTAGTCAATGAACTACGAAGTAGGCTATTTATTGCCATTAATTAATGTAGGTTAATTATTGCCATTAATTATTAATGGCAACACATGACAAAATTTTGTGACACGGAAAAAAATGACCATCATGTCGCATCTAATAGCTAATTTCTCAATTACAAAGTTTTATCTGATCGTTTTATTGACAAAAGAAGATACGATTGTCAATGACGGTCACATGAAGGTCATATTTTTGTGACCTGACGGTTTTCCATTCGTGACGTTACCTCGCATCTCTAACAGATCGTCATTTTATCGATAATTTTTGCCTCTGGGGGCTTATTCTCCATTTGTTTTGGCTTACATAATCACAGCTTTATTTATTTCTTGTTATTATATAATTATTGTTATTCTTACCTCCAACAACAATGAAATCGTAATAGTAGTTGGCTGGATTAACAGGAGCAACTCGTTGACAAAGTTGTGAAACATCAGAATTTGTTCTGATAAATGTGTCGAGTAGAGTCATAAAAACCAGAAACTGTGAGCCTGGGCAACTCTGGGCTAAACTCGGGCCGAGAAAGGGCGCATTACAGTGCGGACTAACTGTCAAATTGTACGACATTCTGGAAAAAAAGTTCAACGAGACACTGTAAACATTGAGATAATGATAGATCTCGAAGAGTCTGGGAATCGCATTCTGTCCTTCGCAGTGTCAATCACGACTTTCCCCTTTCTCAATCGCCGGCATAATTCCGCATAGGTTCTTTTCGTTCTCACGTGGTATGTAGAAAACATGTAGCTCATGGTCTATTGCATTCGTTTCCACGTTTAGTGAGTCGCGATGGAGGGGATCCCGTACTTTTGTTTTTCTCTTGGCTTTGAGGGAATAGGAAATTGGAGCGTTCGACGCGGGCATAGCGGAATTATTTTATGCATTCGCTGTTTTCATTTTTTGCTAATTAATTGCGATTATGGATTGACGAACGGTTGCCGAGATTTTCACAAGTTCTCATCACAAGTTCGTATTTTTTTTACATAATATAAAACATTAAATTTTGACATATAATTAATTAATGTTTTATTATCTCTAATGGACAGAGAAAAAATTTTCTGAAATTTAGAAGAAAATGGATGGAAACACCTTTTCTTGAGGATTTTCAAGTACTTTGGCTATTTTTTCTTCAATCAAATGTTTTTATATTTTTCTAGTTGAACATCAGAGCCTTCATTTGAGCCCCATTTGACACTCAAATTTCCAGACATTTCACAATGATTTTATTATTTACATTTTGCAAGTCTAGATTTAAATCTCCATATTCACTAAAAACAATTAAAAAGTTTTCTTTGGAGAAAGATTGATGAAACAATTAACAAATTGCAATTTTGTCAAATTACGAGCTATTTCTATCAATAATTTGTAAACAATCAATTTTCTGCCATATAAATAATTCGTTCGGAATCGTAACAAATTGATTCGTATACAAAATTTTACCAGAAATCAATTTTATATCTAATAAAATAAGATTTTAGAAAGTTTAAACAATTTCAGTTATTTATTTATAAATGACGAATGTTCAAATAATAATAATTCTGTGCAAAATGTAATTTTGATGGCCCTGAATATTCATAATTTTTTTTATTGCTATGTCGTCTATAGTGTGGTCTGTACCAAACTGTAAAAGATGCTGGAATATCCTTAAGATGCACAATTCGTTGAACGATAACAATTATTTTTCAGGTATTTTACGGAAACAATTAACAGAATCAATACTTAATTATTCTTACTTTAATCAATTTTTGGATTGAATTTAACCACATTTTTTTCGAAATCAACCTCGTTCTTTTTAGTTCTCAGGAACTTTCAATTCTGAAAATATAATAGACGACCTGGTGATTAAAAAATTTTTGACCATTTGCTTATTTTTTCCTTTAAAAAATGACCATGAATTTGTTAACACCACCAGTCACGGATGATTCTCCGGACCCAACCGTGACTCTCTTAGCGTGACGATTTTGCAAGGAATGATAAGTCCGTGACTGGTGTGAATAGCCACTCGGTTATCGGAATTTTATCACCCAATTTTTCTAGCAATTAGAAATATTTTCCTATATTCTAGATGAATGCATCTCAGAAATCATTATTCCTAGAATTTAGAAAGATTTGACTTCTATCTAAATTTGAAATTCCGGTGAATTTTGAATTTATCGGAATTTTCATGATTAATTTAAGATATCTGTTCTCTAAAAATGTTAAATTCTATAAGAATGGCTTCATTCAGAAAAAATTCTGATATCATGCACGAAAAAATTTAATAAAATAATCTAGCCAATTCGTCAGAAAATTCTATTGAATTTCGGTTCAGCTTTCTATTATTGTTTGGTCGATTTTATTGACATGTTCAATAGAAAATATTTTATAGAAAAAGTGAATAGAATTCAATTTTTCTGAACAACTTATTCTATTGAAAGACTTTATACAGAATTTCCTCGGCTCAAATTATCCAAGTTTCTTCATTCTTCTTTTCTTTTCTCTTCATTCTATAGAAATTCTATAGAAAATATCTCAGTAGAAAATAAGCTATATAGAAAAATCAACTACTTTTGACTTTTTCTATAAAATATTTTCTACTTAACATTTCAATAGAATCGGCCAAAAATTAATACAAAGTTCAACAGAAATCCACTAGAATTGTCTAGCGAATTCGCTAGATTTTTCCATTAAATTTTTCATACATGATGTAAAACATATTCACTTGAGACAACTAATTTTTCTTCAATGGCTTAATTTTCCCCGACATTTCAACTCGTGTGGCCTGAGAAAGTTTTCATGCTTCAAAATATTCTCGTACTCAAGCATGATTCTGTCGCAAATGAACTCACTCAAATCGCGTAGTAGTATCGTCGATCTTTGATGTGTAATATATTTACGATGTAACGCGGAACGATAATAATAAACGAGAATGTATTCGAGTTTCGTGAGGCGCAAATGATCTGAGATTTAAACCATTGAAAATAATTAACTTCTCTGGAGTAAATGAGGTCTACAGATTAGCAAATTTTTCTCTCAGTATATAATTACGGTTTCTAGAATTGAAAAAATATTTCTCCCGTGTGCCAATTCACGAAATTTTTTGAACGCTTCCAAAGAAATTTAATCATTTGAATGAACTCAATAACTCGCCTAATGTGCCATAGAAACAATGATCAATAACCAAATCGTGAGTACAATATTCCGTCTATCCCCTCCAGATCTTTTGTTACGATTAACACGCCATGTGTCACGAAATAGCGCGCGGAGAACTGAATAATGTTCAGCGTCAAAACTAGAGCAACCAAGAGGGTATAAACACAAGTGAGAGATAAACCCAATGGCCCAATGCACTGGACGCGTCACACCCAATACCAGAATTCATCGGCACACAGAAATTTCAATCGAATCAAACGGAGTTACGCATTGCAACTCTCTTTGGTTCCGGTGGAGCGTTCCACGACGATTCAATTTGTCTCGATAAAAGATTAAATTCGTCCATCAGTGTCCAGTTGTATTCGAGAGAACAGGTGGGCCGGCAACGGTTGAGTGAATTTTATTTGAGAGATATTTGGGGGTCATTCGTTTATTCACTCGACATTTCATTGATGATTAATTCAGTAATGGGAGAATTTTATTCCGGGAATATTCAATTGTACTCACTTTTGTTCACTTTGCGCGCCGATTGACAATACTGAAGGACCTCTCACTGCGCCACAACATTTTATAATTCATCTCCCACTCTTGAGGTACTCGATATTATCAAACGGTTAAATCCGATAACGCGTAATGAATTAAGAGGACAATTTCATCGAATTTGTTAATTTAAAGAGTGAGGACGTTACTGATGGACAATCTCGGCAAATCGTTGATCAAATATTTTTTTAGTTCAAAGACGTTCCAATGATTTTGAAAGATTTTGGACACCTTGACACGTGAAGATATGATGGAGTTGAAGATGACTTTTGTTTTTCAGTAAATTGTGAAACTGCCGTGAAGACACCGAGTGGAAATTCCGGTCAGGTCTTGATCAAGTTTGGATCAGGTTAGACCCGACCACTGATCAGGTAAAAATTAATAAATGAAATTGATGAAATTAATTTCATTAAATTAATTTAATTTAATTTATTTTAATTATAGTATAATGATCCTTTTTAAAGATTGAAAATAATTATTGATAATGGTTGATAAAACTTAATTTGAATAGTATAATAATAGTTCATTAAATTATCTGAAAAACTTATTAAAATTAATGTCAGGTGGACCGGATCTGAATCTGATCATTTTCTCTTCAATTGACCCCGTTCAAATGCCGATCAAAGACATCAAATCCGAATTTGATCAAATTGGGGTTAGGCAGCCGACCTCAGGGTGAGATCGTGCCTACCTGATCGGAACTTGATCTGAATCATCCTGCAGTTTTTCGGATCTGATCTACTGGATCAAAACTTGGTCAGGCTCTCATCAGGCATCATCTGATCATGTCTACCTGATTAGAACTTGATCTGAATCCGCCTGTCGTTTTTCGGATCCGATCTGCTGGATCAGAACTTGGTCAGGTTCTCATCAGGCATCATCTGATCGTGTGTACCTGATCAGAACTTGATCTGAACCCGCCTGTAGTTTTTTGGATCCGATCTGCTGGATCAGAACTTGGTCAGGTTCTCATCAGCGATCATCTGATCATGTCTACCTGATCAAAACTTGATCCGAATCCGCTTGTAGTTTTTCGGATCCGATCTGCTGGATCAGAACTTGATCCGAACCCGCCTGTAGTTTTTCGGATCCGATCTGCTGGATCAGAACTTGGTCAGCTTCTCATCAGGAATCACCGGATCAGACGAACCTTACAAAAACCTGATCAAGTTCTGATCATGCTTCAGGTGGGCCTGAAGCAATTTCTATTCGGGACGATCAACGCTTAAGGAATTCCAAGTATCGTGTACAATTTGGCTGGTCATTTAAATAAAGATAATACTATCTAAATAGTCGCCCTAAAATGTCAAGAATTGTTGCATCACTTTTTCACGTGAAATCATTAAGGGGATTCAACTACGTAGTAGTTTTAAAAGCCGCGGACTATTGGAATGAGATTTGTCGTACATTGAAGATCGATTATGTATGTCTACACAGGAATAATTAGTGCAGAAAAAAAGGAATTGTTTGTTGCTCATTTACCCCGCAAATGTTTAAAATGTTAAAAATAATCCGTCGCCTCCAATTTTTGAACTACAAAGGTTTTATTTTAATTTTTGGAGAAATATGTGCAATAATACTTACAAATTAGTTTTTTGGAATTCAGCTCCTACACAGCTAATTCCGTTATTATTTTAATAAAACATTGCACTATTCATGTAAAATGGCTTGAAAAATATTTCTGAAACAATCGACAATATATTTTAAATATTTTAAGGATAATTTTTCTGCCCATTTTACATGCGCAAATTTTTATATTAAATAAATCGAAATTAGCTGTGTAGAAGTGGAATTTCTAAAAACTTATTCGTAATTGTTATTGAATACATTTTTTCAAAAATTTTGAAAAAAAAACACCTCGGTGGCTCAACAATGGGAGGCCCGGGTTATTTTGAAAACGAACAATAAATAATTTTTTTTTTTGCACTAACTATTCCTTTTTAGACATGTAATCGATATTTAATGCATGAATAATCTCACTCCAATATTTCACGACTTTTAAAATTCATAGTAGTCTCCCTTTAACGTAATAAGTAATTTTAATCTAATGAAATGACTCATTACATGAATGATATGTCATATAAGGTTTCCAAATAAAATGTTTCATCATTTTTTCACGTGAGATTATTAATGTAATGATTCATTTCAATGTAATGGGGCATTTTACCGTAATGAAATGACTCATTACATGAATGATTTGACATATAAGCTATCCAAATAAAATATTCAGAAAGCTCACTCCCTGGTAGGAGATGAGAAAAGGCCCAGCGTAGGCCGAGGATGGCCCAGTGCTGGCCAATATTGCGCCAGCCTTCGCCCATTCCTCGTCTCCTACCAGGGCTTTCAGGGAAATTCATTAAAAATTGAAAATTTTCAATGAAGCTGAAACTAGCGAAAGATTCGACAGCAGAAGATGTATTTCAAGTAAATCTAGGGGTGNTGGCGCCACACGTTTTTCAGTCCTAAGGAGTGCAATTCTCACTTTTTCACTCCTAAGTAGTGCATTTCTCACTTTTATACTGCTCAACGGTAAAAAGACCTACTTCTCATGCTTAACTACCGTCGGTAAAAGAGCCCTTTTTGGGCTTGAGCAATGAAAAAATTTTTAAGTAACGTACAAACTCTTTCGCACTTTAAAAACATTTGTACATGTGATTATTTGACTCTCCTATACTTAAATATCCCCTAAATTGAATGTTCCGCTGACGAATATGCTGCTAGTTTCAACTTCATGAATTTTCAACAATCATCATAAAAATCAAATCCACCAATATAGCTATCGTAATCATCTTTTAACATCGACTTAATGGCATTAAAACAAACATTTTAAGCTATGATTGAATTCATTTGAAGCATGAGATCCAAAGATATCCTGGGAATTTTTATTTTCGAAAAATACAGAATTTGTACAAATTTTCAAATAAATATAAATAACGATTATCGCTATCGCCTCCATCTTCGATCTCGGTCAAAAGGATACGCAAATAAATTTTTAAAGTCATTATTCAATCAATTCAGAACAGTTTTTTTTAGTAATCGTGAAAAAAACCATTTTTGACAAATTTAAAAAATTAATAAATGAATTATATTTTAATAATGACGATTCGTAGGGCTCAACAATACCCACATTCGAGGGGGGAAAAAAATTCAATTCCATCGATTCGTTTGCTAACAATCGAAAAAAAATTTGTTTACATACGTACGCTAAGAGAAAAATCGACATAATATCACAAAAATCATTTCAAATCAATTTATGGTAGGATTCAGATAAATCGGTGCTCTTCGGGCTAAGGAGGAAGTTACTGAATGAAAAGATGATTTTTTTTTCGAAATAAGATAATATTTCTTCAAAGACAAGAATAGTTTGACAGTAGGAAAAAAAGATATTGCTTCCCTTCGAACTCAACGTGATTGAGCGTAAGCGACGGTTATATTTTCTTAATATCTGGAGGTTTTCCTCTGCATAAAGTATCTATTCATTCAATATGAAAGTCCCTGCTTTTAAGTCATTTTCTCATCTTCTGTCACGAAAAAACCGATGTCTCGTGGCAAGAAATTCTCACTTTATCATGAAATGTTGATGTTCAAGTCCTGAACACTTCACCGAAATCTGACAGTGTCTGACACATTATCCGGAATTATTATCCCAAGAAATTTATCCTCAAGAGATGAGACTTTTGGCGCAACAAATTAGTATACGTACACGGAGCGAAAACNCGGAGAAGTGCTGAATTCAACGCTGGTGGAGTACAGGCGCACGAGGCACCTCGACGCCTGTACGCCTGTACACCTNACAGTAGGAAAAAAAGATATTGCTTCCCTTCGAACTCAACGTGATTGAGCGTAAGCGACGGTTATATTTTCTTAATATCTGGAGGTTTTCCTCTGCATAAAGTATCTATTCATTCAATATGAAAGTCCCTGCTTTTAAGTCATTTTCTCATCTTCTGTCACGAAAAAACCGATGTCTCGTGGCAAGAAATTCTCACTTTATCATGAAATGTTGATGTTCAAGTCCTGAACACTTCACCGAAATCTGACAGTGTCTGACACATTATCCGGAATTATTATCCCAAGAAATTTATCCTCAAGAGATGAGACTTTTGGCGCAACAAATTAGTATACGTACACGGAGCGAAAACCAAACACGTTGTCAAACAAGTTTTGTTTGGGCCAACAAAATCGCTAGTTGAAAATTGCCAAACAAGAATTAGTTTGGTTCGAATCCGGAAGTTTCAAACATGAATAATTGTAATGAATAATTGTTCTGCTGTCGACAGTAACGAAATATTTGGCTTCAGAGGCGGATAATTCACAACAGACGGAGCCTTTTCAGGATGAAAATATCTCATATAGAGAAAAATTTATCAACAAATATTTTATTTATAAGTTACAAGATTCCTATCATATCGTTATTATCGTTTCATTTAAGGGCTCATTTCTTGTCTGTGATTATTAGACAGCCGAAATGAAAAACTACTATCCCTTGTTTCGCATAAAACAAAGATTTTTCAGGAGCAAAATACGTATGGGAGTATCGAATAATGAAGGAGTAATGACATTTCTTGCGTGTACAGAGAATGTCATTTTTTTTCAACTACTAAATCTATTTTTGCGACAAAAATTTTTCATTCTGGCACACTCTCTGCATGTTCGGCACAAAAAAATTCTTTTTTGATAATTTTCAGAAAACCATTTTCCTTAGCACAAGTAAGACTTGTTTGAGAACTTTGTCGTTTTTCTCTCAGTGTACAGACACGGTCTAAATATCGCGGACATTTTTGATCATAATGGCTCGACTACAATGCTTTCATTTGGAAGCAAAAATTGGAAACTTAAATTTAAGTCATTACGAAGTTTCCACTCGCGAGCAAAAATAAAAAAGTTAGGGGATATTGTCTTTTAGAATGATCGATTTTCCCCCTATTTTTCAGTAATTTCATCTCCACTCTTGAGACCTCGGTTAAAGGATTTTTGAGGTC